ATAAGACTATTAACTATTAAGTAATTTTGTTTTTATACAATTTATAGCCTAAGTCATTAAGTTTTCATTGTTATTATTATTTTATAAATGTTATATTCAGTTATTTAATTTTTATACCTAAAGTAACAGGATAAAATGTGTGAAAAAGGTTGATAATACCATTAATACCTATATAATTTCATTTTAAATTATATTTATATAACAAAATGTTGTTAAAAAAAGAATAAAGCATTTTTTTACATGATTTTAATCTGTGTCCCATCTTTAACATGTTGTGTCCCATTTTATTTCGATAACAGGGTAAGATGAGACACTTTGAATAAAACAATTAAAAAAATTTTGGAATTCTTATTGAATACTTAGGTGTGTCATAATATTTGTAATAACTTGGAAACATTTTTAACATGATAATGTGTAAATTGTTTATTTTATCTGGGTTAAAGTATTAGGTGTCCCGTCTTACCCATGTTTCCCCTATATTCTTTTATAACAAGAAACCTTTTCCTTGCAAATAACGCATAAAGCAACATTGCTTTGTTCAATGAAGAAATAAGCATTATTCCACTTTTTGTTAAAAATACGGCACTCTGTATGACTTTCCGTTTTTTACTTAAACTCATATTTATTTTAATACAGCATAGAGCTCTACACTCGATAAGAAACAACACTAAACTATAATTATAAAAACTGATTCTATATTATATACCCGATACACTACAGTAGACTCGCGCAGTTAGAAAAATCCATCGATTACACGTTCGATACCGTTATTATTACAACGGAAAATGTTGATCGTATCTTATCGCGTAAGTTTTGAGTACAATATAAGTCAGATAAGTGTGATTGACGAGTTTATTTATTATTAGTTTGTGTTAGTATTATGTATAAGTATTATAAGTTGTTATGAATAATACCAAAAGAAAATATTATAAATTTATTTTATTTTATTAATTTATTCAATAAAAAATGAATTAAAACAATAAAAATTAATATATTATTTTCAAAACATTAATTATCTTGGCGGGCCGTAGGTTGGAGACTCCTGAACTAAAGGATGGATCGGGAAATATAATTTTAGGTAGGTTTTATGAACAAGAAATTAAATTAACCGATTTCCTAGACACTTTTATAGTTGAATGTATTATAAAAAAAGTTAAAGATAAAATGCTTGTTAAATGGTTTGGTTTTGATTCAAGTCATAATTCATGGATATCAACAGATATTTTAAAATAAAAGAGTTTTTTATTCCAGTTGGTGTCATTTTAATTAACACGTTCACGCTTACAATACTTACTTAATATAGGTTTCATATTATTTGAAAAAAAAAAAATTTGATAAATTTCGGTAAAAAAATTGATGTTTTGTAAGATACGAAATATGTAAAATACTTATTAACTGCACAAAACCACAGGTAAATAATATTTAAAAAAGCACGAAGTCAAGATTACCATTTAACAAAATACAGAATAAAATATTTATATAATATAAAATAATAGTATAAATTATAAACAGTGTTACTGTGTTAAATAACCGATATTAGACCATAATATTTTTGTTATAGTAGTGGTGGGACGAAGTCGCTGTGTGTCACAGGCACAATCGACTATAGCATATTGGGTTTTCCGTAGTTTTTATATAAATAAAATATATGCGAAGCATATTACTGAAATGATATGCTTCCAAGCAATCATAATTAAATATTTATATAATAAAATAAATAATTATGACCTTTAGCTATAAGTAATTTATTAATATGACAAAAATCAAATATTTAATTACTGTATAACCTTTAGCTATAAGTCATCCATTAATATAATCATGTAAAACAATAAAATGACCTATAGTCGGATCAAACACACACACACACGACACCCGACATAAGAGGTTCGGTCACCGCCTGTCCAGACGCAGTGCTCTTCCCGTCTTTTTGTGTAAATGATCATAAGCGAGTGTAAAAGACTACGTAGATCATATACACGAAAAGACGTAAGTGTTAAAATAAATTTATGTTAAAGTCAAATGTATTATTACATAATAATGAAAATTACACATAAATGTTTTCGAAACGTCTTAGATTGCGAATCCTACATAAATCGGTTTATTAAATTTAATAGTTTCCTTATGCTGATGAATTGCCATTAGATTTTCAGAGTATATAGTTCTATCTTTAAAATTAGTTTTCATCATTAATTTATTTGCTTTTATTTCTGACGAAACCAGTTTTAAAGAAGTTCTAGCTCGAACATTTTCCATACATTTACCAAAAACGCTATTAATTAATAATTTCCAAAAAAATTTTTCAAATTTGTTTTTAGCTTTTACTCTCATTTTTGTACATAGTTCAATGTATGGTGCCATCCAGTGTTGGCGGGATGTAGGGTTATTTGAAGCAATTGCTTCATGTCTGAAAAGGGTGGGTGGGTAGTTGAGTCCAGGTGGGTATATAATTGTATGATCACACTGTAAATGACAAATATTATAATTTTATTAATATAATAAAATATAATATGCTGGTATGCTACCAAGTCACTGTGCCGACCTGCGTGTGATTTTGACATTTTCGCAGTTATTTTATCTAATTAAACAACAATCATTAAAATAAGAAATACAAACTCAGTACTATAAAATATATCATACATGTTATATAATTATAGACATTCAGTTATATAGTAATGTAATGATTTAAAAAGGAAATGGTAATGAAGGGGTAATATTTATCAGGGGTTATTGACTATACACCTTTAGATCAATTATAAATCATTACATTACCTTTCTTCTCTTGGCAATGACTTCTTTGTTAATGCTGTTGTGAATAAGGTGACTAGTGCACGTTGAATAATTATAAGACTTTTTTCACATAAATACACTTATTATTTTTATTATAATTTTTCTTAAACACATGAACTATTTAATACATTTGACTTTAACATAAATTTATTTTAACACTTACGTCTTTTCGTGTATATGATCTACGTAGTCTTTTACACTCGCTTATGATCATTTACACAAAAAGACGGGAAGAGCACTGCGTCTGGACAGGCGGTGACCGAACCTCTTATGTCGGGTGTCGTGTGTGTGTGTGTTTGATCCGACTATAGGTCATTTTATTGTTTTACATGATTATATTAATGGATGACTTATAGCTAAAGGTTATACAGTAATTAAATATTTGATTTTTGTCATATTAATAAATTACTTATAGCTAAAGGTCATAATTATTTATTTTATTATATAAATATTTAATTATGATTGCTTGGAAGCATATCATTTCAGTAATATGCTTCGCATATATTTTATTTATATAAAAACTACGGAAAACCCAATATGCTATAGTCGATTGTGCCTGTGACACACAGCGACTTCGTCCCACCACTACTATAACAAAAATATTATGGTCTAATATCGGTTATTTAACACAGTAACACTGTTTATAATTTATACTATTATTTTATATTATATAAATATTTTATTCTGTATTTTGTTAAATGGTAATCTTGACTTCGTGCTTTTTTAAATATTATTTACCTGTGGTTTTGTGCAGTTAATAAGTATTTTACATATTTCGTATCTTACAAAACATCAATTTTTTTACCGAAATTTATCAAATTTTTTTTTTTTCAAATAATATGAAACCTATATTAAGTAAGTATTGTAAGCGTGAACGTGTTAATTAAAATGACACCAACTGGAATCAACATATTGAATCTTGTAAAAAAAAACACAAATGTGCAACAAAAGACAGAAAGGAAGCTTGGACAGATTTTTTAATAAAAAAGCTAAGAGTTGTTGTGGTATGTATACAAGACAATAACACATTTTCTAAAATGTTTAGTATATTTTATTTTAATTATTATGATTTTTTTTACTATTTAAGTCGATCAACAATGTCATACTTCAGATTCTTCATCTTCTGTTCCAATTAATAATGCACCAGGTATATTTTTGGTTTATTTCTAAATTTAAAAAAAATATGTTTTTAAATTATAATGTAATCGGAATTTAAAATTGAAAAGATAACTAATTTTTTAAGTTTAGATTAAGTTTAAAATGAATGATATACATTTATCTTAATATATATAAATCTCGTGTCACAATGTTTGTCCTCAATGGACTCCTAAACCACTTAACCGATTCTGATGAAATTTTTTACACCGCGTGTAATTTGGTCCAACTTAAAAGATAGGATATAGGGTATGGACCTAACTCCTGTGAGTTAGAGATTTAGAGACAAAAACCGAGTTACACCGGTGGCACCCTCTAGCAGATAAAAATAAAATATAAATAATACGGTGTATCCGAATTGGTTCCCAAACGTCCGAATTGGTTCCCGGGTTGTTACGAAGGGTATATCCGAATTGGTTCCCGGGTTGTTCCGAATTGGTTCCCAGGAAATGGTTAAAAATTGTGGCTTTTGTCACGAATGTCATTAAAAAAAATGAAAAATAATACATAATATAATAATAATAATACAGTTTTTCAACTCGTCAATTTTTTTTTTTTTTTAAGTATAATAATTAGGTATATATTAATGTATTACTAAGGTAAAAATTTGCAACAAACATTGTTTATAAATTCTAATTTAGTAATTTCATTACTTTTGTATTTGTCCATTTCTATTTTTATAAATGTTTCCTTATTTTTGGACTTCAAATTCTGTAATTTGTTTGTACTTCGCAATTTAACATACGTTTCAATTTGAACTTCTTTCAACACATCAATAAATTGAAAAATGTTCGGATTTGCGGAATAGAAACAACTGTTGAACTTGCTGTGAAATGATTCACAGCAATTAGTTGTTCGTTCTATACTACTTGTATATTCAGCCCACATTGTTGGTGGAAATAAACAATCTTTATCAATATAATTTTCTAGAATATAATCAAAAAAATCTTCCAGCTTTTCATTGATAGGTTTTAATGACATTAACTCATTTATATAACAATCGCTAACTTCTTGGGGCGATAATAAGGATAAGCCAAAAAACAATTTTAATATTCCTCCTATTTCGGAATCCTTATTTTAAATTCTTTTGGAAGCCCCAATTGTTGTATCTTCCTCCACCATGCTTGGCCCAAGTGAAACCGACAACCTTTTAATTGAGCTAAAGGCCATACTTCAGAGATCGCTACATGAATGGCTCTTTCAAAGTCCGCATATATTTTATCTGGGCTTAAATAATTTTGAATTAAACGAAAAGCTTTTGTGTACGTGTCACTAGTTTTATTTGGAAGTAAAAAGAAAACTAAAGGAACATAGTGGTTATTTTTTACACCGTGAACTGTAAAAAGTTGGTAAAAAAGCTTTGGACAACTTTTGAATGTACCGTCAATAAACACAGTTTTCATTTCACGTAATACTTTCAAATTGCTATCACATGAAAATCCAATAATATTGGTTTCTGCACTGTTAATAAATAAAAAATTTTCTCCCCGATTAGTCATTAAATTATAATTTTTTAATATATTATGAGTCTCATCCAATGTTTTAGGCAAGGTTGGTACTGTACTACACCGACTAGCATGTATATTTTTTCTAATTCTACATAAATCTTGAGCATCTAGGGTTTCAATGTCGCATTTAAACAACTCACAGCGAATTATTTTTGCTGGTCGTTCATGCAATACTTCCATAGCTTTTCGTTTTGAACTGTTATTTAATTTCTGCCTGTTAAGTGTTTTATCGTTTTCTTTTTGATGGTTATGTATTATATTTTTATCGACAATTGTATTTATATTATTTAGTTTCAAATACGACTTACATTTTCTTTTGACACACGTCCAACGGTCGATGTCATCTGCCAATTTTTTTTGGAATCCAAATTTAAAACCGTCTAATACAATAAGTTTTTTATTTTTTTCACTGTACATGAATTCCATATTTGATACTTAAACGGAAACAAAAATACAAATTTATCACTAAACGTACACTACTAACAACAGCATAGACTAACGAGTAGGTATCGACTAAATATCCGTCCATATCAATATAATACAACAACGATTAGTTCACGACACAGTTCTTATCTAAATCTTTTTTTTGTACATTTGTATTTATAATGTTGGGAAATATGGTATAATAATATCGTATTTCGCCTTTTGAAAATGTTTATCGCAGTGCAATAACGGTATAACTATAAACCCATATAGCTGCCCATCTAACTATCTGCCTATATGTACGCCATGAACTAAGATAATATTATCTTAGTTTATGGCGTACGTGTATCGTATAATAGGTAGTATATAAGTTCATATTAAAGCAAAATTCAAAAATTCAAAAAATCAAAAAAGCAATTTTGTTGATATGATTTTTAAAACATGATCGAAAAAAAAAGTTTCTTGTCTACCTAGAATATCGGGAACCAATTCGGATGTGTGTTCCGTGGAATATCGGGAACCAATTCGGATGTGTGTTCCGTGGAATGTCGGGAACCAATTCGGATGTCAATTTTCAGGTATGGGAACCAATTCGGATGCAGCCGGCAAAACAACGTTAGCCGGGTCAGCTAGTACAGGGGTCGGCAACCCGCGGCCCACAAAGCAATTTTTAATGGCCCGCACAAAGGTGGTTAATTTTTGTGTTTTACTTTTGTTCAATAACATTTTTCATATAATTTTCAATATTATATAATTCTTTTTCCTTTATAAATAAAATCTGATCTAACCGTTTCATAATAGCAATACAATTATAAGTATTATATCATAATATGTAATTTTTTTTTTTTAATGTGGCCCTTGATGAACAATTGAAAAAAAAAATGGCCCGTGTGGTTAAAAAGGTTGCCGACCCCTGAGCTAGTATATTGTAATATGTAAAAAATAATGGATTATAGATAATATACTTATATAAATACATAACATACTATTATATGTATTGTATAAAATCTTTATTTCAATTTTTTTTTCTTGCTTGTTTTGCTGCAAATGTTTTTATTACATCTGAATAATTTAAACTCTTTGTAAAAGTAGCTTCATGTTTAGAACTGCAAGACTATTAAGTCTTTCTGAAGACATAGATGATCTTAAATAATTTTTTATTTGACGGAATGTAGAAAAAGATCTTTCAGTTGAACAGTTGGAGGTCAAATTACACAGGAACATTCTTAAAGCTACATCAACATATGGAAAAATTGTTACTAATTGTTTGTCTTTTATAAATGTACTCATGTCTAATAGGGTTTTAGGAGGGTTGATAGCTAATTTTATTACACTTTGAAAATGAATACATTCATTTTCAAAAGATTCATCTAGATCTTGTTTATAGATAGTTCTCAATTTTTTTGCACCTTCACGTATTTCTAACGGGCTTAGTTCATATTTTTAATATAAAGCTGTATTTATATATTATAATGTCGTAAGCAGTTCTTTTTGAGTTCAACTATTAAATTGTCAAATGACATAAATGTTTTAATTTTAAAATTGTTTCAGCTATCAAATGTATGACTAAGATCATTGGATTCATCAAAATGTTTTTCGTTTTCTTTATTTTCAAATTCTGAATTTCATTACAATCTAGAAATTTTTCTTTGCTGCATCTTCATAGGTTTGAAATATTTCTCGTACTGATTTTATATAAGCAACTAATAAGATTATACAGTTAGCAATACGCTCTTTA